ATACATTTGAAATTTCTCTTTAAGTGTGTTAATCTTTTGGCGATACTGTCCATATACTTATTAGTTTTTTTGGTGATGCTCCCATCACCTTACGATCGCCCATTTGGTTAGAAAAGGAGGCTCTTTAAATAACTTTTGAGGAAAATATTCCAAAACAATAAACTAAGGTAACCTCTAGAACTTTGTAGCTCGTTCTACAAGAACGACCATAAATTATATTTTTAATGTAAAACCGAAATTATTCGTCAACAAATTTCGACGATTTTGTGTCTAACTTTTTACAACATTGATCACATTACAAAATGTTGTTGTTAGTTTAATTCGTTAAACATACGTCAAAAGTGAGAAAAGTAAATATTCTGCAATGTCATTAACACTGAATACTAGTAAAGCCCAAAGAGGCATGTGTACGAGTTTGAAATTGTTGCAATGCAATCTTTTCCAAACATAATTTCAGGGCTGAAACGCAGTGACGACTACATTAACACCTGAAATAAACATATCTGAAAATGAAATAATAATCTCGTCGGCGCCCTTATTGTGTGTTAATTAGGAAACTTTATTAAATCTATGTTGCAGTTTTACCTTAACAATGAAAACGTGAAATGAATTGGGCAATCAATATAACAAACAATAGATCTAAACAACGCAGACAATTCCCAAATGAACTTGAAGTGCAGACTTTACTGAAATGGACTTGGTACACGAATCTCAATAACTCTGTAAACAATTAATAATAAATTATGCGATAAGACAACAAATGAGAATGTTATTAAAGAACAATTAAAAAAAAAAAAAAACCCACCATTTGGAGGGATCTTGAACAATGTCAACAAAAACCAGTAAAGAAAGTCCTAAAGTTGGGCGGGACCGATTTTATGATACCCTACACCACTTTGCTAATTTAGTTGAGCTCCACTTAACAATTAAAAGTTTTTCATACACGATATGATTATAATTATAATTTAAAATTCAAAGGACTAAATATGCCGAAGCATTTGTATCTTTTAAATTCGGACTTGTATTGCCCATTTGGTGCGAAATTAATTTTTAATCGGATAAAAATATATATGGGAACTATATCCAAATCTGAACCGATCTCGATAAAATTTGGCAAAGATATTTCTGAGCTGTATTTGATATATTTCCCTGAATATCGTTGTTACGGAGTGCATATTACGGCTGCGGAGGACAAAACTAACAAATCGGATGAACAATATATATGGGAGCTATAGCTATATCTGAACCGATTTCGATAAAATTTGGCATACTTATTTTCAGGCCTAATTTGGTTGTATGTGCAAAATTCCATAATATTCGGGCTGATATTACACGTTTGGTGCACAATAAAAACGAAATCGGACGAAGATATATATGGGAGCTATATCTAAATTTTTACCGATTATCTCCAATTTCAATAGGGTTCGTCCTTGGGCCAAACAAATGTTGTTTGCAAAATTTCATCTCAATCGGATAATCACAAGAATACATGGACAGACGGACTGACATGCATAAATCAACTCAGAAAGTGATTCTATGCAGATCAACAAAAGGAACTATGGGTCTATCTCGTTTCCTTTTGCCTGTTACAAACAAATGCACAAAGACATAATACCCTGACCACCTTGTGGTGTAGGGTATAATACGTAGAAAAATACAGTTCAAATAACCCCCTTTATATGGGGGCTATACGAAGACGAGGTGATGGATAAGTAATTTTTTGTCATGGGCTGTAGTACCCATTACGAACTTTAAATAAGTAATTCCGTTGAATAATGTCGCAAAAATTCTGGAAATACCAATCTTCTAACTTGATCTGCCTGCAGACTCTAGCGTGATTACAACATACGGACAGGGCTTAGAATTTTACGCTGATCAAGAATATATATACTTTGTTGGGTATAAAATTATTATTTCGATTTGAAAACTAACACTTTTGGAAGCTTCTACACATACAACTTTTTCTATTATAACATTAACATTAATTTTTTAATTCGAAAATTTTGATCGTAGTTCGAATTATTTCAGTTGCATTTCGATTATTCTAATTGTAATTCCAGTTTTTATACACTTCACCTTGAAGAGGAGGGTAAAATAACTTTGTCATTACATTATTAACACCCTAAATATTCGTCGTAGGCCCCATAAAGTATATACATTCATAATCAGCTTAAAATTCTAAGTCGATGTCTGTCTGTTGAAATCACGATACAGCCCACATTATTTCACGTAGAAGTTTGGCACAACAATTTGTATTATGTCTAGGATTGTTGTTATCGGTTTTGGTATAGCCGCCATATAACGGTAACTCCCGATATTCGATATTTTAATGATTTTTGCCACATTTTTCCACGGATTTTTATAAAAAATGATATTTGTAGTTCGCAATTGGTTTTAGCACCGGTGGCAGAACATTGAATATCTCGTTCTCCTATGGGGCAAATATACGATACCAACCGATATTCGGTATTTTTATAATCCTAGTCACATTTACCCACGAAAATGTTTCAAATTTGGTATTTAAGACTCGAAGTGGATAACAATCCTTATAGTATAATATGGTCTATATAAGTTCCCGTTTTGGTATGGCCCCATTTAACGGGATTCTCCATACGGTATTTGTGTTTTAAAGAGGAACACGTTTGAATTCAGATACTTTTATATAAAAATGTTTTCTTTACACAATGATGCAATTTCAATACACATCAAAAATATTCATACAGTTCATATAATAAATTTCAAAAACCTTTGTACAAATAGCTCTTTACCAAATGTAGTATCATTTACTGCTGTTCTTGCATTTAATACACGTTTCCAAAACCACCTCCTTATATCAACCCTACTTCCATTAGTACTTTTTAGTACATTTTTCAAAATCCACCTACACATATGAACCTATCCCTTCCTCATATACCAAATTTAGTACCATTTAGTACTTTTGGAACGTTTTAGTAGCTATTTCCGAAATCACCTTCAAATCTACAAACACATCACACTAACAGTGACCCCAATATCAAATTTCCAGCTCCATCCGTTCACCCTAATCCATGTACCATATTTAGTATAATTTAGTACCGATCTTATGATTAGTACCCATTTCAGAAACGGCCTCCTTCTATAAAACCTTGTTTCTCTACATAATTCTAATACCAAATGTCTGCATTTTAGCTTTATCGGTTCACACAATGGTATGAAATATGATGCTGCTTTAGTACTATTTGTACATTTTTAGTTTCTACGCTCCACCAGCGACCTTTATTCCAAATTTCAGGTTTCTACCTCCGTTTGATCAATACATTGAATTTAATGTTGACTACCTTTACGGGAAAAATAGTATCGTATATCCGCCTCCTGGTTTTAAGCTACTTCCTTACCAATTTTCTTGAGTTATAAATAGTGTAACTAACACGACTTTCTTTATAAGGTATAGATTGGTGTTCGGTTTTTTGAAACCCCAAGCTACTGATAAACCTTATTGAAATTAGCGATAATTGGTTAAGATTTGGATATAACTTCTCAGCAAGAAATCCTATTAGTAGTTCTTCTTTGGCCGCAAAAATGTAGAAATACCTATTTCCATTATTTTGTCCGTTGCCGGCATTGAACTCATAATCTCCTAGTCAAACACACTGTGCTACTGTTGTGGATATAACCAGTAAAGAAAGTCCTAAAGTCGGACGGGGCCGATTTTATGATATCCTACACCACTTTGCTAATTTAGTTGAGCTCCACTTAATAATTAAAAGTTTTTATGGGAGAATTCAATCATACACGCTATGATTATAATTATAATTTAAAATTCAAAGGACTAAATATGCCGAAGCATTTGTATCTTTTAAATTCGGACTTGTATTGCCCATTTGGTGCTAAATTAATTTGAAATCAGATAAAAAAATATATGGGAACTATATCCAAATCTGAACCGATCTCGATAAAATTTGGCAAAGATATTTCTGAGCTGTATTTGATATATTTCCCTGAATATCGTTGTTACGGAGTGCATATTACGGCTGTGGGTAACAAATACAATAAATCGGATGAACAATATATATGGGAGCTATAACTATATCTGAACCGATCTTCACCAAACCTCTTCTACCTTCTAGACTAAATTCGGTCTTATATGCCAAATTCCAACCCATTTGGACAAATATTAGACGTTTGGTGCACAATAAATGGTAAATCGGACGAAGTTATATGTGGGAGCTATATCCAAATCTGAACCGATCTCGATAAAATTTAGCATAGGTATTTCTGAGCTGCATTTGATATATTTCCCCAAATATTGTTGTTACAGAGTGCATATTACGGCTGCGGAGGACAAAAATAACAAATCGGATGAACAGTATATATGGGAGCTATAGCTATATCTGAACCGATTTCGATAAAATTTGGCATACTTATTTTCAGGCCTAATTTGGTTGTATGTGCAAAATTCCATACTATTCGATATTACACGTTTGGTGCACAATAAAAGGCAAATTGGACGAAGATATATATGGGAGCTATATCTAAATTTTTACCGATTATCTCCAATTTCAATAGGGTTCGTCCTTGGGCCAAACAAATGATCTATGCAAAATTTCATCTCAACCGGATAATAAATGCGACCTGCATTTTGTTCACAAGAATACATGGACAGACGGACGGACAGACGGACTGACATGCATAAATCAACTCAGAAAGTGATTCTATGCAGATCATCAAAAGGAACTATGGGTCTATCTCGTTTCCTTTTGCCTGTTACAAACAAATGCACAAAGACATAATACCCTGACCACCTTGTGGTGTAGGGTATAAAAATACTACATCGCCAACTTATCGTATTTTTGACTCTTTTTTCGTTTGATGACCATGTTGCCCAATTTAAATGGATATTTCACGTAATCAGTCCAGAAGTAAGTATGCTTATGTATACACCTTGGGTAGGCATTTGATTTTTTACAGGCAGGCTGTTGTGTGAACCAAGTTTTGGAAATTTAATTTCAATATTAACTTACATCGTTTGAGCAGCGGAATAGTAGCCGTTATATACACCATCCATAATCAACAGTTCGGTTTTACGATCTGGCTTTTCAGCCTGACACGAATATACAGTGCTTTGAAAATCACAGCTTATAGTTATGGCTTTGTTGTTCTCGTTTAACGTCGCATTTGTACTCGGAAGTGTCCCATTAAGAGTGTCGACAAAAATGCGTTCGTAACTCTCTTCCATGCGACCCCAATTATAAACATAACACTCGAACGAACTACCCGGATGTATAGTTGTATAGAGTTGACAATCACGGTACGTCTCTCCATAATAAAGATCCACAATTTTGCAGTGCTTAGCTGAGTCAGGTTTGGAACATTTTATCGTCCCCTTGCCGAATTCCATTTGGACCCGAGTATCGAACTTTGTTTTCTGAAACGGTAGTATCTGAATGGTTGCGGAACCTTGTTCATAATCGCCAAAATAGTTTTCCATTTCAAGGGTCCAAATGGCCGCAGAAGCTGCAGTCACGCCCATTACTCGTATACCGCATACATCATTTTCGTACGGTAGTATATGCTCTCCGCGAGAAGTATCAATAGGTTCGGTGGCATTCAAATCGATCCTCTCCTTGTCATTTCCTACATATATATAAACGTCAATGTATTTTTATTTGGTAAACATCACAAAAATCAATATCGGAATTGGTATCAATTATGTACCTCTGAATTTGAACCAACAGTTCTTGATCGCACCAAAATTCTTTGGAACATCTAAATAAATCACAAAGCCTTCGCCCTCCATCAGATGCAGTGAAGTTGAAGGCCGAATAGTCGCATAACATGTCACTATTATACCCAATCCGATCGCACAAATAAAGACACCGCTTTGCGTCGTCATATCGAAACGATTACCGTCTTTATCGCCCGTGAATACCAAACTGAGCAATTGTTCAGCGCATCAACGCAACACCAACAAAGACATTGGCTAGCCTGTTCTTCAAATCACAGGTGATAATCACCAACAACCGGCGTTACACGAACAACTTCACGAAGCGTTAAATTGTTTGTGTCCAACAATGACATCAAATAGAGCTGTGTGAATAAAATGTCCCACAGTGTTTCAAGCCATTTATAGTAGAAAATTATAATGCGATTATTTTAGTACTAGAATCCGACATTAGGCGGTATGAAAATGTGATTTTTTTTTAATTTTTTTGTAAGTGTATAACTCTGTATCTGAAGGTATAAGGATGCTTTGTTCGAATAAAAATTCGACAGTTAATCCAATATCTGAAAATTTTAAAATTATCAAAAGTCGTTACAAAAGAAATTCAAGGTCAATGTTCAACTTTTGATTTTTATACCCTCCACCACAGTATGGAGGGTATATTATGTTTGTCATTTCTATGTCGATTTAGCGATATCTGTTCGTCTGTCCGTCTGTGGAAATCATTCTAACTTCTAAACAAAATGAAGTAGATAAAAATTTACTCAAATGTATATTATGTCTGCAGGACTCTTGGCATGAAAATAGGTCATGGTATTAAAAATAAGCAACGTGGAACTAGTTTTAGTATAGCCCTATATAACGGCATCTCCCGATATTCGGTATTTTGATGATTTTAGCGACATTATTACCGGAATTATTTCAAATTTGGTATTTGAAGTTCGCAATAGATACTACAGCCTCTGACAGAAAATTGTCCGTACAGCTCCATGCTTTCGTTTAGCCCTTATATAACGTCACCTCCCGACGTCTTCGTATAGCCCCCATATAACGGTATCTCCCGATATTCGGTATTTTTATGAATTTTTACCAAAATTCTTTCAAATTTGGTTTGAAGTTCGTAATAGATACTACAGCCTATTATTTGTGTAGGTCCACGTTTTGGTATAGCTCCATATAATAGTACCTCCCTATATTCGGAATTTTAAAGATTTTAGCTGCATTGTTCACCTATCTTCTTTTCAAGTTTCGCATTTGAATATTGTATAATAGCACGTTGTCGTATAGACCCTAATAGAACGGCTACATTCGGTATTTTTCAAGTTTTTAACAGAATTTGTAACGGATTTTATTTTTTGAAAATTGCCAAATTCGTACCAAATGGTGGAGGGTATTCAAAGTTCAGCCCGGCCGAACTTACAGCTTTTTTACTTGTTGGTCATGAGAGAAAACTTTGCGAGTTTTATTTTTTTCATTTTTTTCAATATTGAAATAAATAGCAATTTCCTGCTACAGAAGTATTTATCTATTGAAAGATGCAAATACCAAATATTAAATATGTTTGCTAAAAAATGTGGCTAAAGTATCATATATTCGGAGGTATCGATATAAGGGGATAAAAGGAGGTGATAGAAACCATTACAAGCTCTACGTAGCGAACTTTGGAAATGTGGATAAAATCTTCAAAATACGGAACATCAGGAGGTGCAGTTATATGGGGGCTACTTGAAAATGTTTCCTACCTCAGTTAGTCCGAAAGATATAGTGCAGTGATATATCAACTTAGAATTTTACGCCGATCAAGAATATATACACATTGTAAGGTCTAAACTAAGTATTTGGAAGAGTTACAGAGTTTCTTTACAATCACTAGTATAGTGAAGGGTATAAGAAAATCCAAACGATTGGAAATTTTTCAATACGATTTTTGTTATTGTAACAAAAATATAATGAAATTATTTTTTTGTGAGACAAATAACGAGTAAAATTGTTAAAAAGTTAAAGGATAGGCACACAGATAATAAAAAAAAATGTGGATTACATCTTGGTAAAATTAGGTAAGTAAAGTCATGAAATCATGTGCTTACATCAACACCCAGAACACATCTCAGTAAACTTTTATATACCTACTGCATTTCGCTCGGAAGCTAGAGTGATTTCCACAGACGAATAGGCAAACAGATCGAAGGACATGACTAAATCAAAATTGAATGTAATGCTGATAAAGAATACAGGTATAAATAAAATGCTTAATTTGAAAAGTTACAAGCAGAATGGCAAACATTATATACCAAATATAGTATGGTAGTGACCTTTTATACTATTTTTTGCTGCCAATTCGAACAAAACTTTTGATAACAAACGACTGTCAAGGCCCGAAATCGCCTACTGAGTGATCTTAATAAGAAGACCTATTGTTGTCTCTTATAACTGAATACTCGATGGGAGCTAAAAAGAAAAATGAGCCAGTAAGGAATGACAAAAGACGGGCGGTGCCGACTTTATGATACCCAACACCACTTTGAATACCTAGTATAGTCAGCTGTAAAAATCAAACGTTCATATTAAGGCTTTGGAGCGGTTTAAATATGAATTCGGTTGAAACGAGCCTATGAAAGCTATATCTTAATCGATTTCCAATAAACCGATTTCACAAATTTGACATATTTGATTTTAGGCGAAAATTAATCTCATTAATCCCATTTGGCGAACAATATACGGGAAATCGAACGAAGATATATGTGGGAGCTATATCCAAATTATAACAGATTTCACCAAAAATTGTATATATGTCCCCCAAATCCATATTGTACCCTGCCTTAAAAAAGTTTTTCGACCAAGTTTGTCGAGATTGATTCAGATTTGGATATATTTCCGACTATGGAAGCTGTTGTTTTCTAAATAGTTAGGCTTAATCCCATTATTGTTGTTTTTATAAAAACAACGTTTGTTTATTAGTGCAAAAAGATTGTAATGCCCACCAGGGGGTAAGGCAGGGAATACCTTGGTTTCGGAAAGAGCCACTAATCCTCATCAGTTCCCTTGCTGCCTGCCTTATACCCCGGTAAACGTTACCATCATGGGATTAAGCCTAATTATTTTGCAACAATAACAAAATACTACCCGAGCAAACATGGTTCTATATATGGAAGCTATAGCTATAACATTCATAAATTTATTTCCAGGTTGAAATCGGTCGCATTTGCCGAATTTCATCTTATTTGGGCAATGTTGCACATATAAATCCAAATCTGAACCGATCTGCTTAAAATTCGGTTAGCGTGTTTCTATGCTGATACCGTATAAATCTAGTATCTGATACCGTGTTCTGAATATTATTGTTATGAAGTGAAAATTACGTCTTTAGGGGACTTAAATATCACATCGGATGAAACATGTATATAGAAGCTATAACTATATCTAAACCGATTTCCACGAAAATTAATATGCATATTTATAGGTTAAATTCGATAGTATTTCCTAAAATTGTCCAAATTTTAGCATACATTACCCATTTGGTGCACATTAAACCCGAAATCGGGCGAATACGTGTATGGAAGCTGCATCTAAATCTTTATCTATTATCACCGATTTCAATAGCATTCGCCCTTGGGCCAAACAAATTATGTGTGCAAAATTTTATCACACTACAACAATAAATACGACAAAGATGCATAAATCGATTCACAATGTTATTCTATGAAGATCATCAAAAATAACTATGGGTCTATATCGTTTCGTTTTGGCATTTTAAAAGTGCATCATTTCCCCTATTTTGATTGTTTTCTCTTTATTATGATTCCCAATTTTACTAGATTGGAAAAATAGTAGATTCGTGCAGATTCAAAAATATTCCTGATTAAAAATCTATCACGGGCTATGAATAATACCTCTCATAAAGTTAACAGGAATTTAGTACCAGAGTTGTTCTTCAATATGTTGCTATAATCCACAATTCTTCTGCGCTCGACATATTTTCAAACACTGTGCAAAGAAGATCGGACGTCTATCGAATGACAGTATCGGCTGCAAAGCATTCGAGATTCTTTGTTTGTCAAAACAATTTCAATTGAAGCGCTAATTACTATTGATAACAACATTTCACAGTAGAAATATTGTTATCGTTAATCGGGAAAGACGAAGATTTTTCAAACACTAAAACGAATAATCAACTCGAATCGAATATTCAACTTCTGATCAGTATCCAGTTATAACAATTGTTAATGTAGAACGGTTCACAAAGAGTAAGAAACCTACATAGAGAAGAGCGTTTAATGTCATCTAAGTAAAATTGAATTTGTTTAAAAAGAAGTAAAAGTGCTAAAGTAGGGCGGAGCTGACCATGTCATACCCTACAGCACTACATCAACGTGAGAAAAGACTCCATGGTTTCGCCAGAACATGGGGGGATATAAACACTAGTAAGATACAAATCTATGAAATGAACGAAGTGGAATAACAAAAGTATTCAAGGCCAAAGTATAACATGTCCTTGATTAAACGGTACCTCCCGATATTCGGTATTTAAATGATTTCAGCAACATTTTTCAATGGAATTGTTCCAAAGTTGATACGAAGAATTTGTAACGGATTCTACCTCTTGTGGCAGAACAAGAACCTTTATAGACATGGATTATTATCCATTGCAAGTCTTAAATACCAAATTTGAAACAATTTCGTGAGCAAATGTGTTGTTGAACTCATTGTGAACTCCAAATACTAAATTTTACAAAAATCCGCTAGAAACTATGGTTTAAATCGTCGAAATACTGAATATTCGCTTTAGGAAAACGTGGACCTATATTTACAATGTTCTGCCACCGGAGCTAGAACCAATTACGAAGTACAAATGCCGATTATCAAACTACCAATGGTACTTCGAGATTATAGTAAGCCGGTCAATGTTCTGCCACAAAAGGTAGAATCCGTTACAAATTCTTCGTGTTAGCTTTGGAACAATTCCTTTGAAAAATGTTGCAAAAACCATCAAAATACCGAATGTCGGGAGGTACCGTGTTATCAAGGACATTTTATTCATTAGCCTTGAATGCATTTGTTTTCTCACTTCGTTCATTCCATAGATTTGTTTCTTAATAATTTTTGTATGCAATATCCCCCTATGGAGTCTTTTCCAACGATGACACGATGACGATATATATATACTTATATCTAAGCAACCCAAATCCACCAGCTAAACCCGGTGCGCCTCGCTACAAGACAAATTCAGAAATTAAAAAAAACACTAATTATTGTAATTTTTTAAAGTGTACCAAAGTTGCCAAGTTGAGTGCCAAATGCAACATACTTCCCCGTAATAATCGTATCCTTAATTAAATTGTGGTGTTTTTTTTTACTGTTAGCTTAATACCATTGCAAATGCGTTGTGGGTCAATGCTTCTTAATAAAATCATGTCCCCATCTGAACCGATTGCAATATAATTTGACAAAATGTACTTTTACACCAAATTCCGTCACACCTTCCATATTTCGTGTTTGCTGCATCAAATATGAGAAATCGGCAGAGAATATATATGGGAACTATGTCCAAATCTTAACCAATTTCTAATTAATTTGACAAATATCGTATCGTGCTTGGTGCTTCACATATGTGAAATCGGCCGAAAAATCTAAACCGATTTCAATATAATTTGACAAATTTATTTTCTGATTAAATCCGGTCACACATTCCAAATTTCATTGGAATCGAACATACATATCGTATTTGGTGCACCAAATGAACGAAATCGGTCATAAATATATATGGGAGCTATATCCAAATCTGTACCGATTTCAATATAATTTGGCAAATGTATGTTTGCTTTAAATTCGTCACTCATTTCAAATTGCTTGGAATCGAAGAAACATATCGGGTATGGATAACAACTAAACGAAATCGACCGAAAATATATATGGAAGCTCTATCCAAATCTGAACCGATTTCAATATAATTTGGAAAATGTATGTTCGTCTCAAAATCCGTAATACATTTTAAATTTCATTGGAATCGAATATACATATCGTGTTTGGTGCATCAAATATGTGAAAGTGGCCGAAAATATATATGGGAGCTATATTCAAATCCAAACCCATTTCAATATAATTTGGAAAATTTGTTTTTGTTTCAAATTCCGTTACGCGTTCCAAATTTAGACACTGTATCTGCAATCGATCAATTGATATGTGCATATGAAATCTAAATTTTTGGGAGGTACCTCCGAGTCTGATGCTATATTTCCAGTTCCAAGTGGAATTTAAACCTTTTCCAAGTTTGGTCGAGATCGGTTCAGATTTGTATATATCTCCCATATATTTTTACCCCTAATTTGATGTAACATTGCACTCCATATCAACTATATTTGGTTCGAGAGGTCACATACAACATGAATTTACCTCTGTCAAGTTTAGTGGAAATCGACTAAGATATAGCATTTGTAGGTTAGTTTTAACCGATTTCAAATGTAAGCAGCTCTAAAGCCTTAATACCAAATTAATGCTAAATTACGTTTATTTGTGGTGGTGTTGGGTATCGTAAAGTCAGCCCCGCCCCTCTTTTGACCCTTGCTTTCAGTTTTTCTTTTGCTGAGCTTAAGTCGCTAACTCGCAAACCTCTGGTTTTGTAGTCGGATTTGCACACACCGTGCCCACATTGATCATTAGTTGTTAAGGAAAAATAAGTTATTTTGCTATGTATTTTTTAAGAAATGATCCATTCCTATCAACCTACTGCTAAGACAGAAGGTATTTTGTTTACATAACATTTTAATCGATTATTGGTCTCATGTGCGAATAAAAGGACAGAATATACAAGAATAAAATGATCTTTACTATTTTTATACCCTCCACCATACTATGGAGGGTATATTAATTTTATCATTCCGTTTGTAACTCCTCGAAATACTCATGTCAGCCCCCACAAAGTATATATATTCTTGATCAGCGTAAAATTCTAAGATGATTTAGCCATGTCCGTATGTCTGTGTGTCTGTTGCACACATGTATAGTTTACCAGTAGGCAGGTTAAGTTCGTAAATGGGCCACGTAGGTCCAAGTTATCATATAGCCCCCATATAACTGTACCTCCCGATATTCCGTATTTTGATGATTTTAGCGACATTATTCACCGGAATTGTTTCAAATTTGGCATTTGAAGTTCGCAATGAATACTACAGCCTAAGACAGAAAATTATCTGTGCAGGTCCACGTCTTCGTGTAGCCCCCATATAACGGTACCCCCCGATATTCGGTATTTTGATGATTTTAGCGACATTCTTTACCGAAATCGTTTCCAATTTGCAATTTGAAGTTCGTAATGGATACTACATCCTAAGTCAAAAAATGAGCCATGTAGGTCTACGTCTTCATATAGCCCCCATATAACGGTATCCCCCGATATTCTGTATTTTGATGAATTTAGCGACATTATTCAGCGAAATCGTTCCAAGTTTGGTATTTGAAGTTCGTAATAGATACTGCAGCATAAAACAGAAAATGGGCCATGTAGGTCCACGTCTTCATATAGCCCCCATATAACGGTACCCCCGGATATTCGGTATTTTGATGATTTTAGCGACATTATTTACCGGGATTGTTTCAAATTTGGTATTTGAAGTTCGTAATGAATACTATATCCTAAGTCAAAAAATGAGCCATGTAGGTCCACGTCTTCATATAGCCCCCATATGCCGTACCCCCCGATATTCGGTATTTTGATGATTTTAGCGACATTCTTTACCGAAATCGTTTCCATTTTGTTATTTGAAGTTCGTAATGGATACTACATCCTAAGTCAAAAAATGAGCCATGTAGGTCCACGTCTTCATATAGCCCCCATATACCGTACCCCCCCCCCCCCCCTCCGATATTCGGTATTTTGATGATTTTAGCGACATTATTTACCGGGATTGTTTCAAATTTGGCATGTGAAGTTCGTAGTGTATACTTCAGCCCATGCCAGAAAATTGTCTGCGCAGGTCCACTTCTTCGTATAGCCCCCCATATACAGTACCCCCCATATTCGGTATTTTAATGATTTTAGCTACATTATAAACTGATTTTTCTTCAAGTTTCGCATTTAAATATTGTAATAACTTATGACGACAGTTGCATATGCAGGCCCACGTCGTCGTAGAAGAATTCGGTATTCTTAAGATTTTAACAGAATTTTTAACGGATTTTATTTTTTGGAAATTGCCAAATTTGTACCAAATGGTGGAGGGTGTTAAAAGTTCGTCCCGGCCGAACTTACAGCTTTTTTACTTGTTTTTTTTTTTAAATATTGCAAAAAGAATTAACAATATTTGTCAAACTTCTATTGTGCTCTATTAAAAATGGCGGGAAAGCGGACATGTGTAGTGCTTTCTGCAGTATGTTTTCGGTCCGGGTGGAACACATAGTAGCGTAACCACCTCCAGGTGACGGAGGTGCAATGGGTAAACGAAATATATTTATTTATTACAATAAATTTATTAGATATAATATATATTGCAAAAATAAACTGTGTGAAATACACTATGAAGTGCCACATAATACCAGCCAATGTTTTCCCAATTTGATTTTATTCAACAGATGTCATTTTTATGCTGAGAATGATCCTGTTCGTTTCCTTCCTCCAAAACCTAGAGAAATTAAAAAATAATTGTACAGATCGCAGATAAGCCTGACATTTGTACCTCTTTCAAACATTTGGATCTAGCAGCACCGTTTCGCATTGAATCAAATAGTCGAAATTGTAGTATTGGATGTTCCATTTCATTACGACGATTATCCAAAATTGCGATTATTTCATCCGATAGCTTCTTAAAACTCTTTTTGGCCATGTCTTCACTTTGCAGCTGATCCATAATAAGGTGATACATTTCCAGTTGTAAGGGTTCTGGCACTTCATTATTTGCCTAAAATATAGAAGTTTTAGTTGCATTGAAAAATGGTTATTATTTGATTATGAATGCCTTAAATGTCCTTGTCAATGCCTTGTCATAGATGATTTCTTGGCCATAATCTGGTTTAGGTGGCTTGCTTATTTCACATGTTGACGCTGTCAAAGCACCTGGAGAGTAATGAAATTTCAGATGTATTCGTTGCTGCATCAACTGGAACGTGCGCTCTGCAATATCCTTCCATGACGGTATAGAATAGTTACGTTTGAACCTCTGCGTAATTTTCTACGATACGATTGATATGATAAGAAATTAGTAAAAATGTGAACAGGCATTTTTTTGTCAAAACGCTTTGGCATCACGTTTGCTATGAAGAAGCATGGTACAGTGAAATGAAGGTAGGGCCCAGCCAATAATCAATTATCATTTTTTATACCCTCCACCATACTATGGAGGGTATATTAATTTTGTCATTCCGTTTGTAACTCCTCGAAATACTCATGTCAGACGCAACAAAGAATATATATTCTTGATCAGCGTAAAATTCTAAGACGATTTAGCCATGTCCGTCTGTCCGTCTATGTGTCTGTCTGTCCGTCTGTCTGTTGTAATCACGCTTTCTTTCGAACGAATTGAGATAGAAGGCTAAAAACATGTATATTTTGGCCGTAGGCAGGCTAAGTTCGTAAATGGGCTATGTAGGTCCACGTTATCATATAGCCACCATATAATGGTACCTCCCGATATTCGGTATTTTGGTGACTTTAGCGACATTATTCACCGGAATTGTTTTGAATTTGCTATTTAAAATTCGTAATGGATACTACAGCCTAAGACGGAAAACTGTCTGTGCAGGTCCTCGTCTAAGTATGGCCCCAATATAAAGGTACCTCCCGATATTCGGTATTTTGATGATTTTAGCGACATTATTAGCCGGAATTGTGTCAAATTTGGTATTTAAAGTTCGCAATGAATACTAAATCCTAAGATAGAAAATTGTTTGTGCAGGTTCAGGTCTCCGTATAGCCGGTACCTCCCGATAATCCTTATTTTGATGACTGTAGATACATTATTCACCGATTTTTTTAAGTTTCGCATTTAAATATTGTAATGGCTTATGAAAAAAATTACCTATGCAGGTCCATGTCGTCGTATTGATCCTAATATAACGGCTACGTTCGGTATTTCTAAGATTTTAACGGATTTTATCATTTTTGAGAAATGCCAAATTCGTTCCAAATGGTGGAGGGTATTCAGCTTTTTTATGTAGCTTAACACGGCAAAGTATAGGTGTAATTTTAAAGAATAAAAGAAAACTGCTTACAAAATACTCAAATTCAGTTGTAAGAAAAATAATAGTTCAGTTGTAACAACTTATGTATGGACCTCATGAATTACTAATCAATTTTTAAGAAATAAATCTTTAAAGAATTTTACAATTTCAAATGAACCAAACCAAACCAAACAACTTGTTGCATTTGTTTTGATATTTTTTACATAAAAGAGTGTTGTTGTAATTGTTTACCCTATAACACTATCTAATTTAGGTTTGATTGCACATAGGATGTTATCAGAACGCAATTATGGTCCCATCCTCACGAAATTTAGACCAATCAACCCGGAATTTAGCATGGGGCTAGAGTTTGGGATTAATCGACAATATTTAGCACCTGTAGTAGACCGAAACGTTTATGTAATCCAGTAAGGAAAAGTCAAAAGCCGGGCATGGCCGACTATATGATACCCTACACCACTATACGTATCTAGTAGAACTCTTGTAACAAAAAAAACTAATATTGGGTTTATGTGAAGTAGTAGATGAACCTTAGTTGAGTAGTCACAATTGGGGAACTATATCCAACTCAGAATCGATTTTTTTTTTTTCGTTCCCACGCCTCTCACTCCCACCCCTGCCGACCGAGGGGGCGACCTCCCCATACGTAGGGAGCGCGTACACACCAAAGACCGGGAATGGTGGGTTAGTTGTGAGTTAGTGGTGCCAGCTACAGTCTAGTACATCAGCCGGCAAAGTAATAGCTAACAAGTAAAAAAGTAGTTAAGTTCGGCCTGGCCGAACTTTTAATACCCTCCACCATGAAAAATGTAAAATTAAAATGGAATAATTAGTTTCCTTTCGATTTCAAAAGTACTTAGCTCCATCGCCACGCCAAGGCTTATTCCTTGATGGAGTAGTTTATGATAATTAAGGTATAAGATTTTATCTAAAATAAAATTAGCCAATTAACATAAACCGAACATATATGCATTTCAATATAATTTATTATATCGAATATATACAATATAAAAATAAATCTAAACAATTCATAATTGCATTATATTATGAAGAAACATAAAAATGTATATGAAGTTTAAGATAAATAATTGAGGATAAATATTTGTTGTATGTGAATCGATAATGATTATAATATCAACGACATACGTATAAATTATCATCGCGTGATTATTATACCATCATGATGACTATGTATAGTGGAATAACTTTTACAGATAATCCCATGTGGCGCTATGTTAGTAAATGCCCAATCTATATGAGTTCCGTGCTTAGTTGTGCCAGAATTTCTATCCAAAAGTGGAAAAAATCCTTTGCTTACTAACAGAGTTTCCGTTAAATTCTGAGTACTCCGACGACAAATGTTGAAATCGCCAACTATAATAATTTTGTCGTTATTTTGTAGCAACAATTCTTCTATGGTTTCAGCAAGAATTTGACGAAAGGAACTCTCTGCAAAATTTGCATTTCTATACACTATCATTAGACATATACCTTTGTATTTCAAAACGATGTACTGCAAAGTCTTACATGCTTCGGAAAGATCCCTTTTCATAAGAACGCTGATATCATTTACAATATTAGATCGACTTAATGTTATGATACCTCTCTTATTTCTGGTTCTTTCTTGAGGGTCTTTTACGCAGTCAATTCTGGCAATTTCAGAAAATCCCATTAAGTTGCAGCTTTCGTTTGGGAAGGACCATGTTTCCACCAAAAAAATAAAATTAGAATTCGTAATTGTATAATCTGTACAAATATCTTCTTTATGAGCGTGAAAACTTTGAATGTTTTGGAAAAATATTTTGAAATCTTTCTCAACCAATTCGAGAAACTCAAAATGAAGATTTAATTGTTTGGTGTTCCTTAACTTATCTAGTTCTATTTTAACTGGGTCGGAATCCTGAAACGATTTCGGTGGAATAAACGGTCCTACTATGTATAGGCCAGATGCATTTGTTGCTCGACTACAGGCAACATAAAGGGCGGCTCTGGTCATCCTACTTTGTGTGTGCACAGCAACCTTTGCGTATGTGGCACCTTGACTCTTGTGAATAGTGATTCCTTCTGCTACAACCAAAGGAAATTGACATCGTTCAATACAGATTTTATCATTTCGTTTAAATTGAAATGATCTACTACACTTCTCAACTGGTGTCCAAAGTTGTTCGGAACGATGAGGCTTCCTTCGCCGTGTTTCTCTACCAACAGTTTCATCTGAAAACAACAACCAAAGAAGTTTTGGGTTGGATGATTCCCGTTCAAATTCTATCTCCATTAGAACTCCACTAGCTCCATTGACTAAGCCGTCCGATGTGTTAATGTTTATTGTCATCATATACTTTGCTGATTGTTTTAATGTCAGCTCCCGGCATAGTCCTTGAGTCTCTGAAGTTTTAAATTTTGTAACTTGGTTTAAGATGTTTACGGTTTGTGCAGGATTTAATGAATCACATTTAACAACGTCGCGCGCTCTTGATGCGAATGCTTCAGTAGGTATTTGGTGCAACTTCTGCGCATTGTAGTTATTTGCTTCTTCGTTTGATACAAACAAATGTATTGCATCCATTGGTATATCACTTGTGTCGCTTTTAATTCTGGATTTCATTATATCGACGTCTTCCTTTGTCATTATTCCATCAGACATTCTGCTTAGGGCTTGAGCGAACCTCAAATCTTCTCTTTGTCGCATTATTTCTGTCAGTTCATAGAAATGGAATAAATCCCATAATGTTGAACCTACTATAATTCCATACGGGTTTGCAGAATTGTCACTAAAAATCCACCTATCGCCAACTGGTGGAAGTTGTTTAAAATCACCAAATGCCAAAATAGAAATGCCACCAAACGCACTGGTTGTTTTAAAAATCTGCTTGAGACGAGCATCCAAATATCCCATCATTCTAGAACCAACCATTGAAATTTCATCGATAATTATAAGCTTTATATCGCTTAATTTTGTCAATATTGAATTGACGCTATCGCTGCTTAGAGGGCGCAGTTCGCCTGAGTACTGATTAACAGGCAGTGAAAACAATGCATGTAAAGTATATCCTCCAATGCCAAATGCCGCTTTTCCAGTTGGAGCTGTTAATAAGACCTTTGGTAAGTCGGGATTTACTCCAGGAATACTATTTATTCTGTGTGTAATTGATTGATAAATTGCTTTGATTAAACGACTTTTTCCAACACCAGCACCACCACCAATATACTCATAAAATATTTTATTTTCCACAACATTCTGCAGAATATGATGCAAATACTTTCGTTGCTTAGAATTTAGAGTCCTTATGTCATTCAGAAGATTGTTTTCACTTATTAAAGAGGGTAACTTTATAACTCTTACATCGTTTCTTGTGTCAGGATCATTATTTTCGAAACCAAATATATTTTCTTCGGGGTTTATTTCTGGTACAGCCAAAGCACGAAATTCTTCATCAAGCATTTGAGTTGCTGCATTGTTATCGTTTACGTTAAATGTGGCGTTGTGTTCATCTTGTATTTGTAATAAGATTTCGTCAAGTTCACCTTCCGTGTATAACTCAAATTGTTGCCTATTTAATTCTATAGTTTCCTTTAAAGCAAGACATGTACTTTCATTGTCGTTCTGTAACAAATCATCTGCTTCATTTCTCCAGGGCAAATACAGCATTACCAATGAACGAAAGTAATCTTCTCTGTTTGCATCGACATTGAACTTTGGAAATCTTACAATAGCCGCATTGTTTCTTTTATATACGTATCCCGAATTATTTTTTAGTCGAAGGGGAGCGCCAACTTGATCTAAATTTGTGTCATCGTTCTCAAAAAAATCATCTTCTTCCTCTTCATTGGAACGAGATTTTCTCAATCTTCGTGAATATGTGTAATACGATGCAAAATAAGCCAAACATATATTTTCTAATATATCTGGACGTTGTATGTAATGATCCAGAATGTTCGCTTTGAAAATATCAGTTGATTCCCTTTCGAGGTTTTGCAGTTCTTGCCTTGATTTTAGCATCCGAACTCGTTTTTCGGGTGGGAAAGTATTCACATAAACCTCTGTAGTACT